GACTAACTTAGCCCATGCTTCATTGGTCTCCATGATGACCTTCAGTGCATACTCCTACTCACCATGAGAAACAAATAACAGAAAATCACAAAGATGATATCTTAACGGTGAAGAGACAGCAAAAACTTTCACCAATTATGTGTGTGGTGGGACAAGCTTCCAAAGTATTGACAACGCACGTGTGCACGCACACGCACACGCACGCGCGCACACAAAGCAAGCAAAATAACCAGGCTCTATGTAAAATGTTGAAAGGCCTGACATGTTAGATAAGGACATGTTTTCCCTTTTATTCTTTTGGTAGATTCCATCTATTTAAGGCTGTCCATTGCAAGGTGACTCTGCCACTTAAAATGGGGAACAGCTCAAAGGTCAAGACTTACAAAGGGCAAGACCAAACACCAGGACTTACGGTTTGAGGGTAAAAAGTATGATAAAGAGGAGGTTCTCAATGCACGGTAACTCAAGTAATAATCTCCTATTTGGCTCCTCCCAAAGGAATCATGTCAATAATTTCGTGTCAAGTAGATCTTTACTGGGACAATTTACATCTCAACTACACTGGTATCTTTTCAGATTGCAAGTCCCATTGCAAAGTAGTATCTTCAACTTTCCTAAAATCGAATATTATACATGCATAGCCGCTACATATATGATCTTATCCAATATGAGTCGTATGGTTCTATTACATCTTCATCTTTTATGTCTTTAATTGATTAAGCTGTGGCTACGTCATAGTATCTTTATCAACTCAATGATGCAATTCATGACGCCATTTAATTTTTGTTTTCTTAATCACTCTCTCTTTATGCTTCTTTTCTTGAACGCGTATAACCTTCTATTCATTATCATATCCACCTAGTTGTTGTACCCCTTCCAATTCTTAGTGAGGACCAGCTGACATTTTACACACTTATGCCTGATGTTGTAAGTATTGATAGAAGTCATATATTGCTTTACCATTTATGGAATATGTTTGTACATATTCTCAGATGACAAATACCAGTAAATCCCCAAATTAAGTTACCAATATAAGCAGATTGGCAGCTACAAGAATCCAGAAACCTTGTCTTACTTTTTAGCCCTTTACGAACTTTCCAGTTAGCTAATCCAGTTTCCTTGCATGGGAAAGTATTAAAATCCACAATAGATGGCAGAAGGATTTATTTGTCACCTTACCAGCAATAGTAACTGTTCAACAATCTAAAACATGATACTGATAGCCATAATAGCATCACACCTCAACAGAAGCAAATAGCATCCTAGCTTTCCCAATAGACCAGTTACTTTGTTCTCAATTAAGGACAACATGATTAAAGATTGGATGAATTTTATTCATTTAAAAAAATAAAGTAAAATGGTAAGTTATAAAAGAAGGCAAGGCTATGTAGAGCTGGATTACAGGCAAACCTAATAATACTACTACGCATCATACTAGAGTCGCTAACTAACTTCTACGGGCCCCCATTAACTTACTGATAACTTTCTTAGAAACAAATTACATTTGAGCTCTCTGATGGTACAAAGAATGCACATACTTAAGTACTGGATTTAACTCAAAGTAACTCCATGGTAAATGTTAGAATATTTATATAAAACTGTTATGAGTCTGTTATGAGTTTGAAAACTAATGATCTAGCTCCTTTTATGATCAATTATAAAACTTTTAATTCGATAATAAAGTTGAAAGCATTTATACACACAAATCCACTGAACTAAAGACTGCTGCTTGTTAGTACCATCCGGTGCTAACAAAAATGAATAACACAAGGCAGTTGCGAATGAGACAAAAGTTTACATCATGCAACAGGGAAGAAATACAGACAAAAGCTGGACAATACAATATATGAGATATAATCTCCATTGAAAACACTTCGGACGAAAAAAACAAACAAACTGAGACCCTAGTTTTTGAGGATAAACTGATGCGCATTCAACTGACATTAGAAAGATTAATAAAAGATATTAATTGTGGAATCTTATGAAAAATAAAAATAAAAATATAACAGGATTACCTTGTCAGCTGCCTTGTTGTCAAGACCAAATTTGTTGGCAGGCTTTCCATCTGGAATCTTGTAATCTCTAAACCAGTCCCTAATTGCAGTAAGAGTGCCCTGAAATAAAAGCAAGCATTCAAGTTTAAGCGCATAGACAAAAAGGAAAAGAAGAGTTAACAACAACGACGGATCAAAACATTCTGCTGCTCCAGAGATACTCTGGTTCCTCTTCCTTGCTTTCATCCTATTTCTTTTGCTTCCATTAGAGTTCTAATATAAATTACGAGAAGGAAGTTAAGCGTGTCAAATGTCCTTATAGTTAGAATGCAAAGCAAAAGTCTGTAGGGAGGTAGCATCAGAAAGAAAAGACAGATGAGAGAAGCAATGAAACAAATAGAGTTTATGGACAAAGATGTAGACAGAAGATGTCGATGCTCAACAATCAATCACTGAATAACTCCATAATACACTTTCATTCAACTCTTATAATTATCATGACAGTTGCCACATTGATAAGTTAAACAAGTGAAACTCCTAAGCACACTCAACTTCAATCTCAATCTATATCTATCTATCTATTAGTCTATGCGTTTGAGGGTGTGTATGTGCACGCGCGCATGTGTAACAAGGCTTTGAAGTTTTCCAGGGGCAAGCCTAAATTTTGTTTATAACTGCCAAACTGTGTGGTGATCATCTTAATGGATGATCTCTCATGATCTTGATCTACACGTCATCAGAAGTATGTGGATAAAAATTTATGTGCTTTAAACATTTTTAACTTACTCATCTAATGGTGTCATCGTTACATAATGTGCTAGAGATCATTAGATGAACAGCATAAATGATTCCAAAATGCATGTTCTTTTTTCCAAAATGCATATTCTTTTGCCCAAATACGTCTATGACATGACAAACAAGACAGATTTGATCACCCATTTCGGTGATTTCTCATGAAGTTTCAAATTTGAAGACAAAGTATGAAGCCTTACCCTATAATGTCCTATGTTATTATCACAATGCAAGATGAATGGAGTGCATATCCATCTGGTGACTCGTCATAAAATTTCAAAGGTAAGAGCAAAACTAACTTTGTGATTATGAAACTTATATCCTTACCCATATACATGTGTTCACACTTGTATGTGCATGCAAGATAAATCTGAAACATAGCCAAGATATTAACTAGCTAATAGAAAAACTAAATCTCAAAACCAATAATTAATCTTGATAGTAAGTGTTATTATTAAACTAAATCCTAAATGATAGTGTAAATTGTTAAAGGTGGGTCTAAAGGTTCTGCATCAGCTTGTTATTTAGTGTATAGATGAAGCACTTGAGAGTGTCTTTCATTTTACAAGAATCCATATAAGAGAAGATCAACAACAGGGACCATGAAGTTACCGGAAAATGCTTCTCAACATCATTCACATCATTTACGAGGGAAGCCTTAGGGTCATCCAATGAAATTGCAACAATCTTCCAGTCTAGCTCCCCTTCATCAATCATGGCCAGTGCTCCCAAAGGCTTGACCTTGAGAACATCACCAATCTTCGCTCGAGCTCCACCTATCTCAACAACATCAACTGAAGAAAAAAGAAAGAACTGTAAGAATAACATCAAATCAATGTAGCAAGGTTTATGGATCCCATTATACTGTGGAATACTTAAACACAGTCAACACTATAAATAAAAAGATAGGGTGCAATGTACCCGGATCATTGTCACCAAACGCTCCATCAACTTCAGCATTTGCAAAAGATGGGTCTTCCCATGTTTGTGGAAGCAATCCATAATTCCAATTTATGTTGTACCTGAAAGTGATGCATAGTAAGTGAAACGGAGAATTGGTAACGAATAAATTAGCAGTTATGTTGCATGGACACGGATAAGGGTACAGGTGCTGGTGTGGATACAGGGCACGACAAATTTGTAAAAGGTACGGTAAGATGACATAGCTATATACATATACTAAAATTAATAATTTACATATGATCAATAATATTTTTTTTTCATTCACATGTTATGAGAATTAGAATTTCCATGACATTTTTTATATTTCTTTTATTATGAAGATTATATAAAATCAAAAACCACAAGTTTTTATATGCAAACAACCTATAAAATCATAGTCCGAACTGGGTATGGATTGAGACGAACCCATCGTTACAGAAAGTGAACATGGAGTGTAGGATAAATGCCCAAGATGTGTATGACGAGTGATTTAAATTAAACCATGTATTATATAACTGACCACACATTTTAATAAATGTATGTGTATATTCAAGGAGTGTCCAAGGGTGTCGGTGTCTGGTACGGGTACGATACGTGATAGAAATGCCCACAGAGTGTCCGAGGAGTGTTGATGTCCAGTACATGTCAAGTGCGAATACAGATTCTTGATAGAAGTACCCAAATAAATAGACCAGCAGAAATAATGCAAGAGCTTGTACAGACTACATCTTATTTCAAAAGAATAATGCAAGAGCTTCCACAGATGGATGTGTAATATCAAGACATAAGCAAATATGGATGAGTAGGTAATGGTAAATGATCAAAGGTGGTAAAAAAATATGAAGGTATGTTACTCATGCTTAGAATTGGACAAGACAAATGAAGTGGTAGTGATTAAAAAAATATCAGTCTTGAAATTTATATATGTTTTATCTAAAGCAGTTATAATTCGTAAAATTGCATAAAGATTGTGGTTGTCACCATATCATAACACATAAGTTGATAACAAGTTATCTCAACAAAGGTAATTGCACTTTAACACCATAAACATTATTGCTTTTAATTTTAGTACCCTGAAGTTAATTTTTCCCAAACAATACCGAAAATTTCACCGTTTTTAACTTTAACACCCTCAGCCACATCACCGTTAAATTTCCACACACAAAAAAAACCTTTCTTGTTAATTCTTCCTTTCAGTTTCCGGTTTTTATTTCAATGTTTGTTGTGATTCATGAATATTGAGAATCGATGGTTAGTTTTGCTACAGCTCAATACCAAATTTTAGTGTTGAATTTGAGGAATGACTCTCGGTTTATGGATGTAAAGCGTAAAAAATACCGCATAATAATCATGCAAAAAAGTCTACCCTAAACAGCTAAACTTAACCTCCAGCGTATTGAAGTTAAAAATCAATGAGATTAGGTATTAAAATGTAATTATTCAAAAGAAAAGGAAAGAAATACAAGTGAGTAATTGTTTCCTTGCTACGAGCTAATCAGCCAAAACTACAACAAGATAAGATTTCCATCCACAAATCAAATGAAAAAACAACTTACGGATAGTATCTCAGCTTCCCCTTCTTCGTATCCTGCTTAATTGGAGTATGAGCCTCATCCGTCGCCACCTCCATCTTCGCACTACTCTCCTTTGGGATCTCCACCACAAAATTAAACACTCCATCCCCCAATTTCAAAGGAATATCATGCCAAGGCGAAACCTAACCAAAATCCCACAACTTCCATCACCGATTCCGTAAACATACAAAATAATAAGACCAAAAAAGGCAAAAAAAAAAACCTTTTTCCCAGTAGAATCATGGAAGAAGACTCTGTAATCTAGGGTTTCAGGCTTTCCCTCCTCCCTGACGCTGAGCTCGGTCTTTTGGAGAGCTTTGCAGGTGAGTTTGCGCTTGGAGAAGGCGAAGGGTCTTGGTTTTGGCGCGAACGAATGGATGTTGAAGAGGGATTTGGAGGTTAGCTTGTGGGCTCCGACAGGGAATCTGACGGCTGCG